TATTAGAAATTATTTGTATCGTAGGTCTCGAATTATTTAATTTAAATAATTTCATAAAATTTAATAAAAGAAATTAGGAAAAATATACAAATTTTAGATATAAAATATTTAAGTAAAAACAGAAAGTTTCGAACAGTAATGAAGAACAACAACAAAAAATTTGTTGAAATTTGGCTGACCACATAAGGCTATTTCGAGTATTGCCGAGTACTTATCATCAGTAGTTTATATTTCTTCGTCTTCTTCTTCTTGTTCTTGGGTTAGTGCTATTACGCACTTTTACTCTATAATGGCTGGGGGGCTTATCACTACCCCACACTAGGCTTTAACTAGGCTAAGAAATCATATCATTTATTTGTCTTTTAGTTGATGACGGACCTTAAATCAGCATATCTTCCTGAGAATCCAGAAGTGGACTTGAGGGTTGTTAGGGCGGGGTTAAGTTGCGTATCAACTTTAGTGAATAATTTTAGAGCTCTGTCTCTGATATATTTTTTCACTGAGTCAATCCTAAGATCTCTATGTATGTCTGTTGATCTAATATACCATGAGTAGTTTATATTTGTTGAAGTCTAAGTGTCAGGCTTAGCACTCGTGTCTGTCAAATTATAAATAAGTAAAAACATTTCTTTAGAAATAAATACATATGTATTTGAAAATATTTATAAGCAATTATTTGTAACGTGGGTTTGGAATTATTTAATATAAATAATTTTATTAAATTAAATAAAAAGACAAACTAGATATGATATATAGCGCTACTTTGCCAATTTAACATAATATTATATATCAAATTTTTGCTGTATGCAAAAACTCTTTTCGAAGAAAATGCACCTAAATGATTTGGAAAAAATTGACATTTCTCGCAGAATAAGAAACTTGACTGCAAGGCACTCAATGCGTAGGTATTAGGCATAAAAACTGGCTTTTATTGCCGTTGAACTTCATCGAAGTTTTCAATTAAGTACAATAAAAATTGCAGTATTAACTAAAGACTTCAAGAGTCACCTCCTTGAAGAACTCAAATATACTGATATGAACTATAGCAATAAACAAATAAAGTCACCATCAACTGCGAGATGATGATGCATAAATACAGACACATAGAGCGTATGCTTAGTGAAGAATATGTTAAAATATTATGCATTGATGGCGATAGTTCATCTCTAATGAAGAACTGTAGGGACTGCGAAATCAATTCATTAACTATTGATGGCGATAGTTCATCTCTAATGAAGAACTGTAGGGACTGCGAAATCAAATCATTAACTACACTGAAGGGAATAACCAAAAATACTTATGAATTGAAAATACGTTGTTCAAAGAGAGAATCGGAGTTCATTTTACGAAGTGCAACACCTGTGTAGTTCCTTCGTATTTTCAAAATAATAAAAAAAAATATTTTTATATATACGCACGATTCTACATCAAGAATTGTGGCATGGTCTGGCAGTGGTCCAACTGAAAATGTTTGTTCATACTATAGAAATAAGAATGTTTTGTCGTGACATGCTCCAAACTATCTCAGTCAAGTTTCAGTTCCAATTGTTAAACAGATTTTTTTTTACAAATTTACTGAATTTGATGACAATATATCTACAGTGATATATGAGTTTAATAATTCCTTTACCGAATTGTGTGATAAGTTGAATTTGATATTACGTAGTTCTACCTGATCAAGTGCAGTCAGCAAATGATTAAAAATTAACTTTAAAATTATTGCATAAATATAGATATCTATAAGATATAGCAAAAAAAACATATGTACATGTATTCATTAATAATTTTTTTTTTTTGCATGTATTATATTTTACCACTAAGTCAAAGTCTTTAAACACATACCAGAAAAAAAAACAGAATATTTTCTTCAATAATTTTATATTTAATGCCATATTAACTTATTTTATTCTTATTATTATATTACATTAAAAATTACAATAGATGTTGGCTTAGACTATAAAAAGAAAAATAGGTAAATGAAAAAGTAAAAGATTTTTAAAAATTAATTGAATATTTCAGACAGTTGCATTCTGTGTGAGTTCTTGCTCCGGTGGGACTGGTTTTCGTATCTAAAGATTATTGCATAGGTGAATTGAAATGAAAAAGAAAATAATTAATTTTTCGATTAGTGCAAAGTGTAGGTCAGATATTTATAATAGCAAAAAAAATCTACAAATAATAAATAAAAAATATTTATTAAATTAGTTTTTAATTAATTTCAATCTACTTTGAATGTAATCACATGCAATATTATATTTATGAAAATTGTTAAATTAATGTATAGTGAAGTTATAGAAAAAAATTATTCTACTCATGTCAACCATATTAAACAAAAATTATTTTTAATGTTTAATGAAATTAAATCATTTTAATTTTGAGATATTATTTATTTTTAAAAAAATATTATCAACCATTTTTATTACAGTTTACACTTTGTGCAGGATATTTAAATTAATTCCACCACTATATAACCAGTACTATATTAACCAGTGATTGTTATTGGTTTATTATTATATATATTATTATTATATAGATATACTACTTAAACCTTTTGTATTAAAACTTAATTTAATAATATTAATGATATCATAGCGACTAAAACAACAATTTTTTCTAGAAGGCTACTCATATTTATTTATTTATTTTACTATTTATTAAATATTAAATAATTTATGTAAAGATTTGTCAAGCAAATTTTAGATTAAATAATAAAATAATATTACAATATTTTTAAATATTTTTTTTTAAATTGTACATACTAAGAGAAATATTTATAAGTCATTTCATATAACTAATATTCACAATTTTTTTGTTTAATTATCCTTTAGCTAATATATTAATATATTAATTAATAAATTAATATTAATACATATATTAATTTATTAATTAATGAACTAATATATTTAGTCTTTTCTACATGTCAGATGGATACCTAAAACATTTTCATTTACTTATAATAAAACTTTTAATAGTTATACAGAGCAATCTTTTAAACCTTGGAAAATATCACAAGGAAGGCTTAGAAAGCTTTAATGAAACAATGGACACGATACAAAAAATAATAAAATTTTGTTATTCCCCATTATTGAAGAAGCCTAAAGACTTCAACTTTCTTTGGATCCATACCAGAAATTATTACTCGGTTCGAGCATTATGCTATTATGTCAATTTCAAGAATATTTCTTACAAATAACAGTTTTGTGATACTAAGAAATCTTATGTTCAAATTCCGTTCTGGTATATGTTCGTAAGGGTAAGAACAATTTTGTTTGTAATAAGTTCTTAACAAATTAAAGCCCCTAAAGATTCAACAAGATTTACGAATGTATATGAAAAATTCTTTAAATATTTATGTTTTTTTCCATTAACATAAATTTATTCAAATAGATTTGCAAGAAGTTGACTTAGGTTTCGGTTCAGAGAGTTAGCCATTAACTTTGTACCTTCTTTGTACCTTCTATATATGTAAAAAGCAATAAATTGAAAACACTCAAAATTTCATTTTTTTTAAATTTAATTAAAATGTTAATGAACTTTCATAGCAAATTAACTGAAATCCAAAATGCGAACATACAAGTCAAGTACGGCTTTGTGGGAGTTGGTTAAGGAGTGCTGACTCTGAGCTTCAAATTTGACAGGGCACGAGCTCAATCTTTGATACTTGGAGTCTCAAAAAATTATTTATGAATAATTTAATATAAAAAATAATTCCAAGACCATTGATGTTGAGTATTTGACAATACTCGAAACAGCTGTATGGTCAGTCAAAAATTCAATTAATTAATAAAATAATAAAATTTTATTGTTACAATTCACTACTTTTCGAAATCTCTCTACCAAAACAAAGAATATAATATTTTTGAAATGAAATTTTAAAGATTTTAATCAAAGATTATTAGAATTACTATTATAAACACACTATAAACAACTGGGCTTAAATAAAAACTGCTCAGGAAATTAAAAAAATATCGGTTTGCAGAAGCGTATATTTCAAAGCACTCTAATCTTCTTACATAAAATTGAGAATCTATAAAATCTAATCTTCGTACATAAAAATCTTTATTCAAAATATAGCGCTGAATCTATTCTAATATATATGCTCTTATTATATTAAATTTAAAATTATTTCATTTCATTAGATACACTTAATATTAAAACTGAAGGAGCTACTAACGGTCTAAGTGCAAAATTCCAATCAAAAGAGTTTGACTTATAATAATTATGAATCCTATAAACTAATTCATTCAAGGCCCAATTTAGTCAATTGCTGTGTATTTTAATATAATATAATTTTGATATATCTTACAAATCAAATATATTTAAAATAAAATTTAGAAAAATATATATACAAAATTACTAATAATTAATTACTTAAATACAACTAATTACTAAATTTATTAATATCATGCTTTAAATATATAATTAATGAACATGCATTATAATGTTATTTTCGCAGACAAATAAAAACAATATTACATTGAATATATTAATATATGTATAAATGTACATATATATTTATTCAATATCTATACATATATAACAATAATATTAAATAAAATAAATATTAAAGTAATTAAACTTAGTAAGCTACCCAATAATTTTGCATGCAAATTTATCAGAAAAAAATTCAATAATGAGCTGCAAAAACTACTTAAAAATAAATGAATTATTAAATATTATATGAGTTGATTAACAGTTTACATGACGTAAATTCCAAAATTAAATTAAATTAAATTAGTAAAAGTTTTGCATTATTAGTTTTTTTCCAAAATAAATTTGAAAATGAATTAATTATAAATTTTAAATTAATGAAATTTAAATCCATTTATAAACGCTAATTAATTAATTATTTTATATCAAAATAATTATCGAAAATTATAATACAAAAGCATCACATTAATTGTTTAATATTTGAAAAAAAAAAAATTCATTAAACTTAAAATTAAAATGTATGAAAGACAAATAATTTTATTTTCACTATGAAAATTTTAGCATTGTAAAATGTTTTTGTATTATTTTGATCTAAATTAAGGATCCCCTTTTTGTTAGTACTTGGTCAAATTTTAAAAGTTGTTATCATTTAGTTTTATTTAATGTTGATTAAAGTTCTTTGTTAATAATTGATTTTCCATTCGTGTTTTCATATCCAGGTTTTTCTCTTACTTTAAAGCACCGAATTTTGAAATAATCGCACATTTCACGCACCTAACAAAAACAAAAATTATTATCAACATTATTCATTATTATTAGAAAACAATAAATATAAATCAAAAAAAAGAAAACATTTAAGTTTAAACAAAACACTTGCCACGCCTTGACCGTAATGTAAATGGGCTATGGTTGTGAAAATGGTTAATGCCTGCACTGTCCAGCGTTCTGCATCCGCAGATATTTCCATACCAATCACCTGCTCATACCACGGAAAACAGCTCACAGCTACCGTTGCCATCAATGGCCACATGAGTATATTGAAGGAATCACAGCGTGTGTCAGACATTTGAGCGACAATCAGGCGACACTGTAATTAAATAAAAATAAATAAGTGATATAGAAATAATATAACAATATTATATATAACATATATTATATATAACATATATTGTATATATATACAGTATTTGAAAAACAAATTTAAAAAATACTGAAGCTTAAAATTTTTTAAGAAATTTAATAATTGATTGAGGCCGATATATTATTAGATCGAATAAATGTTAGTAATATCTTTCATATATAAGAATTTTTTATTTTACTAGACTTTTGAAATTAACATCCGTCAAACAACAGATAAATGATTTGTCAAGTAATAGCATTTCTCTATTAAGTGGTACCTCTGAAATCACTACGCAAAAACCTACGACCCAACAGAGTTTATAAATAATTTATGTATGTATAATATGCATCCAGAATAAAAGTTCAGTGGAAAGTGGTACACCCATAGGTCATAAGGTTCAGTTTTATCTTAGTAGCTTCTTAAATAAAAAAACATTGATACAAGTGGAGTAAAAATAAGTCATCAGGTACATATGTCCCCTGAAAATCACATGACATGTGATCAGACATGTGGCATGATTGTAACCATTGAAATTATCAGAAACGAAATTATTGTTCCATATGTAGATAAAAATGTTCTGGACGACTTGCATCTTTTAGTTAGAATGAAAACATTATCTTAAAATTCAACGAATCAAGATTAGAGAATCGATGATGATTACTCCTATATAACCTAAACAAATTAAGCTGGCTATAAAAATTGAGTTGTAGCGTTGCTATAGTGTTACCGCTTATTCTGTGTTTACACTAGCTAAACTTTAAGAATACGCAAACCTTGTGTCGAAAAGGGTTATACTGATGTGAATGGTAGCGTTAATACACTTAGTCGTTGTAAATATCAGATGGTAACGAACAAGTATTAATAAACTGGCGCCTGAACGACAATCACAACCTGATCAATCAATATCTTTTCAGTTTCATTTTCTGAATTTTCTAATTGCAAATTACCTAGCACCAACGTATTATCCTAAGCAATAAGAAATATAGCATAAATATGCCTTCATATATCACTAAATAAAAATATGCACTTGCTTGCAAGCATATAACAGCAAACTTAGCTGTAAAATAAGTGTGTTAATTCTTTGATTTTAATATATGGCTTGGTATATGGAGAAAAATATGTTTCTTCCGCTTCCAAGAAAATTTTGACATTGAAATAGTAGTACATAAAAAATTGAAGGTATCATCAAAAGAGAAATATTTGACAAATTTTTTCGATGATTTTTGTTTTTTTTTGTTTTAATCAATTTGAAATCCTAAACCATTTCAAATAATATCCTTAAAATATAACTAACATAAATGTGTTTTAAATGAATTCATATTACTTAGAGGTATTAACTCTATTCAAATAATAATACTGTGGCCAACGATTACGAAAACGGATATATAAATTAGGACACAAAAACAGAAAGTCAAGCCTATTGAAATATAAATATTTAACAGTGACTAAAGCTCTTTTGGGCTATGACGAAAATGTATGTTATGTAGACTGTCCCATCAGTATTGCCAATTTCGTATTTTTTACTATTTTTTATTCTATTGTAGATATGCTCACTTTCAAATTGCCACCAAAAATAAATAGCAAGACAAAAGTCATTGAAGCTGTAATAATGTTAATTTATTATTATATTATTTTATAATAATTGCTAACAGTTCTTACAAAATTATACTCCTTGCCTTAAAGTCGGAAAGTGTTATCAGTAGTTTATTAGCGGTTAATAAAATGGGCTATGTTGCTCACTAAAAGGCGCAAATTCTGAAACTCATTACTAAACAACGCTGCTTTGCCGAGGCACAAATAGCCCGGCTCTTATACCGAAATTTGAACTGACTTATTATAAACAACAACAATTTTACTCATGCCTTGCCGGAGACACTCTACAAAACATGGCCCTCACAATCGCAATAGCGAATCCAAAATAAATATGAATAAATGTAATGAATGGATCATGACCATGCTCAAAAGGCCAGAAGCAGGAATGCCACGACAAGTCTGTAAAGAACTTTTAAATAACTTTTATAGGGCTTGAACTTAAAGCCTCATAATAAAATGTAACCTCAAAATGGTGATACGAAAAACTGTTATTAATGTTATGACAATTGTTCGAGTAGATGAAAGCATCCTGTAGTTGGTGGTTCCATTTACAATATTTACCGAGAGAAAACAGGTGTCAAGAGAAACCGCAGTCATATAATTTACTACATCTCAAAGAATGGTTCACCCAAATAGCTTTAATCATACTCCAAATTAATCTTTTTAAATTATTATGGAAAATTTGATGTTTCGGGATTAATTGTTGTTTTTAATATTTATGATCGGAACATTTTTTATAAAAGATATTTCCTTTGAACACACGCTGTTTTCTTAAAAACGTTCTCTGAAGCAAATCACCTTTTTTTTTGCTTTCTTCTTTAAAAATAAATAATTACGTAGTAATTAAAACATATATTTGCAGTGAATATTGTTTTGATTACTTATTTTGATAATTTAATTTAAATATTATGAATCACTAACTTTTTTAATTGCACTTTGGTTGTTTAAAAAATTAAGAAATGTTATTATTTTTGCCGGAACAGTGATAAAAAAACGTATTTTTTTAATTCCAATCAAATATTTAAATCCGCAAAATGTAGATTGAATAACTAATTAAAACAAATTATATTCCAAATTGATTCCAAAGTTCTTAATTATATTTTTTTTAATGTATTTATTTTTGGCATTATTTTTGATCAATCAGTAGTCACTGTTTCTTACTATTTATATTTTAGTTACTTACTTAATTAGTAATACTTAATTAATACTTAATTAGTTGTTTATTACCGACGTGAGACGTCTTTGGCCGCGTCGAATAGCCAAAAATGATTACGAGTAATGATTGTTTAAGTAATTTTAAGCTACACATGTGTTTCAAGATTCAGTAAAACGTAAATGACTTTCGACGCGGAGACTTATTGCACCCACTGTATAGTACTGACTTTGTACCATATATATCATATGTTATACTCTGATCACTTTGAAACACTCTAATAAAAACTTTCATCCAGGTCGGCATAAAATTGACATCACACAAGGATCGTATAAAGCAAGTGTAGTAATTTTTCAGAGATAAAAAGAGATTTGAAGTTCTGCAATATGAGAACAATAATTCCTGTCTTAAATCGGCCAAAGGTAGGCAATTATTTTTAAAATTAAAAAAAAATATACTTAATTAGAACTCGAAGTAGGGTTCATCGATTTTTCTTGCACAATATATTACATACACAAATGCAATTTGTTAATAATAACATAAACAAGGTGTAAAAATTTATTCTCTATAGACATGATGTACTTACCGCTATATTCGAGAACAATGTGCCAAATAGCACAAACAATATTCTTGGCTCTAGATTTACAATATTATTACGTGAAAACAAGCACCAAATCATAGTGATAACAAAAAGCCACAGAAATGCAAAAAGTGGACGTGCAGCTTCCATAAATGGGCGCATTTTACCAGTTTTATTTTTATACGATCTATAGAATATATATATAATGTAACATATTGCAGTCAAAAAATACTTTGAGAATTTATTATTTTTTACTTACAAATAAATATTTTTTATAATAATAGGATGACTTGTGACAATACCGGAACCAATTAAAATGATTTCAAACACATTCGCCATTGTTAAACTATAGAAACGGGCACGCCATACGCCAGGTCCAACAATCGATGTAAAGAAAAGCACTGAACTGACACCCTAGTAATAAATAAAATATGATAAAAACGTGAATAATTAATAATATTTGTTAATCGATAATGATTGAATAAATGTCCTGGCTTTGATGAAAAACGTTGACTTCTCTAATTATTTATTGAATATATAGTAAATTAAATTAAAAGCTAAAAATTCTTACTCACCCACATTGTGAAGTCGTAACCCCATGGCAAGAACATAACACCAGTATTGTACTTTTCTACATGCGTAAGGTAGAAATTAAGAAACACATTCCATATCACGAAAAACATGCGAATTGGTGGTAAATCATCAGAACCAAACAGTGAAAACATATAAATTGGTATTAGCACAGCCGAATATGAGTCTAAACCATGGTCAAATAATTCACCCAGAGGACCACTTGTACCTGTGCGACGCGCTTGTTTTCCATCCATACCATCTTTTGATGTAACAAACCAATTAAATTTATTTTAATTATTATTATGTATAACATAAAAATGAACAAAAATATAAAATAATTTTAATAATATATATGTATAATTATGATATAAACAATAATTCAACTTATAAATAAATATATGTATCTCTCAATAAATTCGTTCACTGCTAAATAATGATTCGAGTTCGACTTTATAATTGAAAATCAATAAGCTGAAAATAATTGTGTTCCGTTCAATGGGCTTCTCGGGGAGGTATGAAGATCTGAGGTCTATTATTACTTAGTCTGATAAAGTTATAAACAATAATCCAGCCAATGCGTGGAGAGGGGTTATGAAGAAATTTCGCAGTTAATAGAGAGTAGAAGTGCTCAAGTGCACTAACTCAACTAGTCTCAACATAATAATAAAATAAAAATAAATAATTAAATTATTAATAATTAAAAATTGAAAATTAAAAAAAAGAAAAGAATACTTTTTAGATAGGAAGTAAACAATGGTAATAAATTTCGTTTATTATTATATATTATATACTATATACTAGTATGTGCATATAAATTGTGTATTCGTAATATTGTCTTTCATCTTACCTAAATTATAGTATATTAATATATTAATTGCTGCCACTGACCAAACCCAACGTGGTACACTATTTTCCATATTATTTGCTGCCGAGAAATCCCAGTCATAATATGCAATGAGTATGAAATTGACTACGGTCATGAGAAATCCAGTAAATGTAATAAGATTAGGTGCCAACCATTTTGGCAGGAACTATTCAAGATAAAAAAGTTTTTTTAAATATTAATACATAAATCATAAATATAAGTTATATAATATGTAAAAGGGATACATTATAAAATTTTAAATTTATTTATCGACCTGTTTTTTTATAATATATATGTATATATATATATATATATATATATAATATATATAATATGTCACAAGGATTATATTCACCAGTTATACTGGTCATTAAAATCATTTAATCAGTACATTGCAAAATTAGTATGTACATATTTTAAACTTAATTCATGCACTTTTTTCAAATTATAATTCTCATTAAGTACAATATTTTTTATTCATAAATTGTCTATTAGATCATAAATAGTTTGTGTAATTTTAATGTAATATATTTCTGATAAATATTGGATCATGTTTTCATTATTGTTGTTATCATTACTACTTTTATTTATTTGATCGTTTTGTGATATAATAAAATTGTATATTGCGCTGAATACCAGTGGTTTTCACCTTGAAACGGATTTTGAAAATGCAATCCTAATTTTATGGATTAGACGATTGTTAAGGCTGTTTATCTGCTTACTTCGTTATTTATTAATATTATTGCATGAGAAATGTTTTATAATATTATTTGATGAAATTCAATTTAGAACCACTAATAATAACCTCAACTAATAACCACAACTAATAATATCAGGAGAAGCCTATTAAAGGCGTCGGTTTGAGGAACAATTATATATGTTTTAATATTAATTTTAAAAGAAATTTATAAAAACAAATAAAAATTATGAGTTAAAACACAAGTTATATGCCTTTGTTGTTGTATTATGTTGCTTAGGGTACACAATACAACAGCAAAGCACATCATATATTCTTATTTTTATGGGGTGGTTATAAGAATACAACTGTTGTATGGTTCTTACAATAATAGATTTAGAAAAATGGAATCGGCCACATAAGTAACTGGCTGTACTGTGGAATATGGGTGAAAGATATAGATTATTAATTGCCATCATGGTAACGATCATGAACTAACCATCATCATTAAACTTAATAACGATTATCATGAATGAACTTAATACAGATAATAAAAAACTATCGATATTAGTTGACATAACGAATTGAATTTCTAACTGTTCTAGAATTTGACAAGACGATAGTTTGAGACCAATATTTTTTGATATCGTAATCTAATATACAGTGTAATTAAAGTGATTTAGTTCAGACAGTACTAGGATACTTTATGTCGACTGGTGTATTAAAAATTCTATGTTGGTGATTTGACTTTGCTATTATTATTAAATAAGAATACTCAGAATAAATGTTGTTCTTGATTACTTTACATATAACTATAAACAACAAGAAGGGTTTCTGTGCTGACTTGTTATAGCGGTGAAGATATATATTGGACTTAGGTCATTGGACTTAGATTCTTGATCTCAACAATTTTTTTTTTGGCAATGCTCAAGGTTCCTGTAAAGAGTAGTTATAGACCAGTCTATTATAAATAGAAGAGTTCGGGTTTTAATTATCGTTTAGACTTATTTTCTTAAATTTTATAGCATTTTTATTCTTGCGGTATTACGATGGAAAGACGAAATCCAGATTAAATCTGAATTGTGGCTGTTGCTAACTGATATTTGAGAGTATCTACAGACGCCTTGATAGTTTCATCTAATTGGATTTTATGCTGATACTGTATTTTGAAACATAATAATTTTATAGTTGGGTTGGTTAAGTATTATAATACTTCTAGCAGACACCTATATATTTTTTTATGTATTCCAAGTGATTTCTGTTTCATGATATAAATTTCTTGCGATTTCTTTTTCCTTTCACTCTTTTCTTCATAATGTATGAAAAGAGGGGGGAATGCTATTGAAAAGTTTAATTTCCCCTTCTTCTAAAATCATTATTTCTTTTACACCACATTAATTTATTAGACAAATTTTTTTTGGTGGCGAGATTGATAAATATTTCGATATAATGCGCTTAAGTTGTGAGATATAAATTAATATCTTTTGTTTTTGATATTAATTTAATATTTACATTTCCCATTTTATTTTAAACTGTTGCCAAGTAAATTTGTTAAAATATATATTAACTGTCTTTAAACAGAAGAATAAGAATAATTAAGAATAATACTCGTCTAAACTCGTATAGATAAAAGCGCATGTACATTTAATATTTTATATAAATATTTATTTAACAATTAGAAATATAATTCAACTTACCTTCACACACCAATTCCAGAATGGATGCATCACGTAGATACTTAGATAGCTGGTGTCGATACTGTTGTACTGCATTTCACACAGGTGGATTGAGAGCACCGGAAATATGAAAAGAGAATATTCGAAACAAAAAATTTAAATTAAATTGAAATATTTTTGAAACAAAGGAATTCAAAATGCTACGGAAGTAATGAACAAGAATAAACAAAAGTTTTAATGAGTTTTTGCAATATAAATTGTTGCTTCCTTTCACTAAAAATTGCTACATTTTACAGTCCACAATGTTATTTCGCACAAATTATATGCAATTGAAATCTCAGGCAAGTAATTCTCAACTTCAAAATTAAGATTTAAATATGCACCCAAAATTTATTTGAAGAAATGAAGTGTGGAATCAAAAATTTTGATTTAGAAAATAATTTTACTACAATATTGGGTGTGGAAAAACTATTCGGCGTTTTACTCTTCATTTAAGTTCAAAATTGCAATGCGGTGTGTTTTTTTTTCAATCTTCTAACAATTAAAGAAAAAATTATCGAAGATATCTGCATAGACTTGTGTTTTTTATGTTAATGCTACTCTCAATATAGTTCAAGAAATTTCAACAAAATAATGAAAGATTCTCTCGGCCTCCATCGGGCTAGCACCGAAAACGTCGATCAATAGTGCAATTCAGGCAAAAATCGTTAAAAGTCTGTTGTGTCAACCTATTTTGGCGTTTTGGGGTGTTAGTTCTTGTCAACTACCACCGCTGACATCAAACAAAAACAAAAAAATATTGTGCCATTAACAAATACTATATATGTCTATACCTGAGTTTATAGGAACCAACGCAGACACTCTTGCTATTGCCCACACCCATTCATTCCGAATTCAACTTCACCCCTTAATAATCTTACCGGTCTTTCCTTCCTGTCACCTGTTCTATATGTATAAGTAGTCTACGTCATTTTAGTTCCTAATTTCGTAAGATCTTTGTAAGATCGAACAGAAGATCGTTTGTAAGATTTTAGCTATTCTGGCACAAACGTCTTTTTAAAAGTTTCATTCTATATCTTTCGAAATCAAAAACCGCTGGTAATCTCTACCATAAGCAAATAAACAATTAAATTTTAAAAACAAAAGTGATGGAAAGCAGCATAATTTTTATTATTTACATGAAAGAAATAATAGCAGCTTTTGCTGCACTACCAACAGCAGTGGCAAAAAAAAAATTAATTCATTTTAAAATAATAGCTTAAATATATATAAATAAATACATAAGTAGATGAATAAAAAATTGTTAAAAAATATTAATAGTGTTATAATAATAATAATTAATTAATAATATTAAAATTAATAATAATTAATTAGTATATAGATTGAAATACTAATAATTGTACAAAAAAAGATATGAAAAAAGTGTAGTGGCAAGCACCTTCGTCAGTTTTTTAAAGATAGATCTCTGGAACTATACACTAGGAGAATAATGATTCAAAGTACCATATTATATAGAGTGTCAGGGGCTCGTCATGAACAAAATTATTGTTGTTTTTAATGCAAATTATAAAATTTAGAGTGAGAGAAAAAATAATACGTCAGTTCAAATTTGGTCATTAGAGCGGAGGCTATATGTGCCTCGCCACCTAGGCACACCAGTGTTATTCACTAATAAATATCAATATTTGTGTCTTTTAGAAGCAAATTATTGCAATTTTTGTGACACTCAGCATAACATGCATTTTCGTCAAAGCACAAAATAGTCAATTTTGACGAGCCCATGACACTTTACATTAGATGGCCCAAACCAAAGCTAGCAGTGATCGAAAAAATCAGTGAAACTTGCAATATTATTATTTAATTTGAATTAAAAAAAAAACATTTTTTATAATTAACGTTAAACGTTATTTTTGTACCCCAATAAGTTTAAGTATTTCACCTATTAAAAGCATCTCAACATTTTTTTGTCATATTATGCCACATATTTGAATTTATAAAAAAATAAAAACTATCAATAAATAATTAATTAGTGTAAATATTAACATTAATAGGTATTATACATATTCATTAGTGTACATTAAAATTCATTAAAAATTAATAGATGTAATTAATTCGCTCAAGCCATAATTCAAAATAATTGTTACTTTTTATCATTTAATTGCAATATACTTCTAATGATAATTAATTAGTATTTGATTATATGATAATTTCGTGAATATTATTATTTATGGAAAAAGAATATTAACTGATAAAAAGAGCAAAGGAAGTATAAAATTATTATGAGTTAACATTTTTACTTAAATATTTTTTTTATCTGAACTGCAAAATGAATCTGATAAGTTTTGGATAAAAATTAAATGTTTTTATCAAAAATATTGTACATAAAATACAAAATCTCATAATACAAGTACTTTAAAGTCAATGTGTGAATATTCAATATTTATTACAGGCGTGTGTGATATTTGTACATTTATATAAAATATTGATTATTTTTTTTACAAATATACGTACATTCATTATTATTTTTAATATACGAACACAATGAACGCGATATATAAAATATTGGCATGAATATGGTTTGCTAATTAATCTATGAGACATTTTTTCAGCTTCAGATGTCAGCAAAAAAATTACTGTTCCAATAGACTTTTTACTATTATTAAAAGATACATTTTAATAATAAACTGCAAATAATTTACTATTTAATATTAATCCTTTAATAAAAAATTAATATTTCATTTATAACTTTTATGAATAAATGCTACCAAGTATATAAGTATATTAGTGCCTTCAGAAATTAACGTAGTAGTACAGTATAATCCGTATACGTTGACATCATATAATGTCACAATTTTATGACTTATAAACTCCTTTAATTCAATGAACTGTGTATCTTTGCATAATATTCATATGTTCAGCATCAAGTAATAAAATAAGAACATTTAGTGATAAACAGAGTTACTTTTTGTTTATAATAATTAAATTTGTTAGTTTATATCTAACTTCTTGTGCTATTTAAAACGACAACATTGCTTATCTAATTGATGATTGAAATATCTTGGCCAGAACTAGGCTTAAATTTTTGGGGGCCTCTTTCTTCAACACACTCGGCGATATCTCTAGCATTAGTATTGCACAGATTCTTGCCTTAATAAATGCCTCTGGCTGGTTCTAGCTTGACCTTCTCTCTACTATCTACTATTACAAGGTTTTGTAGTTTGAAAACGGCTTTTTTTTTAGCTAATTGATGAGGACTCGTTTCTCCCTCCACCACAACTAACTAACTAAGTGAAACATCTGGGAGTACCGAAGTAAGTAGAGCTGAATAACCAACACCATTCATAGAGTTGATACAACCGTTACGTTTCCATATTAGTGAACGTATCTAAAAGCAGTTAATCACGGCTTAAATTACTTAGTATATGTGTGTTAATAGCAAATTTGAAGAGATAATTCATCCAACTTCAAGAACAAAGTATAGCTACACAAAACTGGTAGCTCCAAAGAATTTTATTAGAGTTTACAAAATAGCCAGAAAGAAGCAAAGAAGATGCTCTGCAGTTTTCTTGAAGTTTAGTTTAATAAATATTTTATTAAATTATAAATTGCCAAATCTGGTCCAATACTTCTAAATATTTTGTTTATTATTGAAAAATATCTAATAAAAAATTAATTCAGATGATTTTGATTTTATCATTTGAAGAAAAAGTTTGTCTAATTTTGTAGTTTATAATTTTGCAAAGTAAAAATTATATTTTTGGACTAAACTATAATTAAAGGATACTAGATCTGGCAATATATTCCACTCAAGCTGTGAAAACTTTTGGCGCATTACCAAATTGTATGAAGTCTCCCATTAATTTGCTGGAACACCATAATTTTTCTATTGAAAAATTTTGACATTTTCACGTTTTACCGAATTTGATAGTACATTTTAGAAGTCAAAAAAAAACAGTATTTTGAAAACCCCACACCTTACATTATCACACTCTTCGTATTTGAAAGGACACTAACCGAAAACTACTATGTACATAAATAGTTTTGCTACATCAATTACCAAAATATATAATGATTATGTTAACTAAAAAAGCATACAATTAAGTTCTCTATTGGAGAGGAAGAATTCATATTTGGAACACCCCAACTACTATAGTATGTATGACATACACTTATGTATTTCAATTATCTTTTTTATATGTAATAGTGGATGTAAAAATTTTAAATTTTATTGAAATGTAAATATGCCAAAAATCTCGCGCCCATAATATTTTTTCTATCTGAAGTTTTAATTTTGTGTGTTTATAATATGAAACAAGTTACTTCATCAATTATGGGATAATTAAATATTGATTTTATGAAAGTTAATTTTTAAAACAGCTTAATAATAATATGTTTTTATAATAAAATCAAACGAAAAACCCATCATATTTACTTACATGCATTGACTTCATTGTAACCAATGCAACACATAGCAAATTTAATTAATTTAATCTTAATTTAATTACAATATTAAATACATTTTAAAATTGATCAAATTTAAGCGTAAATTGAATACAATATTATGGAAACTACATTAAAAAAGATTAAATGTTTATTAAACAAATTATCTAAAACCCATATTAAATTTGATACTTTTAATCGTATTAAAAAAAATTACTTAATGATTTTTTAATGGGTAGTAAGTACTATTTTATGTCATTATTCGAAAATAATTAAGAGAAGTTTTGTTGGTAAAAAAATTAAATCATCAGTAGAGCAGAGTACTACGGTGTTCTTACTAATCAATAACTACCTTCTGCTCAAAATGTACTCGGATTTTGTAAAAAAAAACACAAGAATTTAAATTTTATTCCAAATTTATTCTATCTCCTTCAAAATATGCTCCTTCTGAAGCAATACACATATGCCAACGCTTAACCCAATCTTCCATACACTTTTCGTAAGCCTTCCGTGAAGGTATGGCTTTTAGTTCCTTCAGCGAATTCTCTTTTACCGATTCAATCGACTCAAAACGCTTACCACGAAGGGGCAATTTGAGTTTTGGAAACAGGAAAAAGTCACACGGATCCAGATCTGGCGAATATGGTGCCTAAGCGATGACAGTGGTGCCGTGTTTTGTAAAAAAATTGCGTACAACAAGAATTAAAAATCGCTAAATGCACTTGAGGTAGTCTCACATTAACAGCTGCTGTAAACAAACTAATTGACAGATGGCGCTCAAATTTGTATCATATGTCAAGAAAGGGTGTACCAACATAACAAAAAAAAATTTTTGAAAAAGAAAAAAGGTCTATTACTTAAGGAGTAGTTAACAAACAACAAAATCCGGATACTTTTTGAGCAGAAGGTACTTCCTCGATATTAAATTCGCTGCAACTGTGCAAATTATTAATTCAAATGCGATAAAAGCTTTATTGCAACATCTTAATGGATAAAAAAAATTAACATTAAATAATTTATTATATAGTATTACCACACCTCACCTCATATTGGTTGGCTTAACAGACATTATAGTATTACCATAAGCTTTATCTTGGCTTAACCGTTTATGGTATAAAATATTGTTTATGGGAAAATGTTTTCGAAGTTGCTTCAGAGCTGTAGGTACGTAAACACTTCGATCTTAGACCATGCACCTTCCAATAAAATTCGGCACTATGTCATAGAGCTCAAGTGAACCAGGAATGGTTAAAAAATCATGGGACATACTTCATATCGTCCACACAATAGTTTTCGAATTCACTAGCTGCAAATTCGATAAACTATTCTATCTGGGCCCAGTTCGAGAACAAGGTGAGGCCTTAAAAATATGAAAGTATGGATGCGTTGAAGAATGACATTGTTCAGGAATGGTCCAAAATACCGAAAGATCACAATTGTAAAGCATGCAACCCATTTTTTAACCGTTTGAAGGCCACAGTCAAGACAAAAAGTGACCACATTGAGTTAGAGTGTGTGAATTCTAAAATTTTGATTATTTCCACAATTTTTTTGTAAATTGAATCAATAAGCAATACTTTCACATGGAAAAGAATGGTCGCTTGAATAGGTAAACTTTGGACCACTAAATCTTCATTTGACTGATTACAAGTGCTTTTGTAGTATTTACTAAAAAGAATTCTCTGTATCTTATCAATATTGTCTACTATTGAAAATAAAGCATTCCAAAAAGAAATATTTTCTTTTATTTATTTCTATCTCATAAGATAAGTGTAAGCATCCTCGTACTTGCTTATCATTGCTTCATATATTTTGCAAACAAAATCGTACATGCGGTCTTCTACATATCAATTTACTTTCAATTATGAACATTTCAGCGCCCTATTCTTCAGCGCGAAGTCCATTAAAACGCAACTAAATCAATTGTTGTAAGCTTTTTACGCTGTATAAGGTTCTGCCGCGCGATTAGCAATGGTCATTGACTTTCATTCAAAGTAGGTGAAACAATTCACTATGAAAGACCCAAATGAGTGAAAGATGAATGCTGCTGTTATCAGCAAAATAATTCATAACAGATCGCTTCAAAAGCCTCAGTAAGTACTAAGTTGTGGCAAGCGTGACTTAAAAAATCAAAAATAAATTAATTTGTCTAAAGTTCAAATGAAATTATTTTGCATTTCAATTAAGTTACATTTTTCCTTATATATATTATATGTAATTATATAAATAGATTTTGAGACATTTCTCAAATCTGTTTCAGACAACATCACTAATGTACATTTTTCTTTAAGTTGATATTAAGTTATCATAGCTACAGAAGGATGTTAGCGGAAATTTGTGATATTAATAATATCGTTAAAAATAATGTCAGTAACAATTAAAATAAAAACTGAAAAGTTTTTTTTCGATTATCGAAATCAAAATTCATCATCATCCGTGACTATATAGTACATATACGACCTAAGCCTGTTCAAGAACAGTCTTCCATTCTGCTCTGTTTTTTGCTTTTCTTTTCCAATTTCTTATGTTCATATCTTCTAAGTTCTGCTGCACACTGTCTGTCCATCGTTTTCTAGGTCGCCTACTTCTTGTACTGGTTCCTACCTCGTTCTCATAAATCTTAAGCGGTACTCTCATATCCGGCATTCTTATCACATGTTCAACCCATCTTAATAGCTGCTTTTTCATAATTTTGTTGATTCTATCACCTTCAGCTAGCCGTTCTAACTCGTGGTTGTATCTTATGCGATACATCCCGTTTTCTTTCACGGGGCCAACAATTTTACGGAGAATATTAGCTCTATTTGAAGGTATAGGTTACCTGTAGTCACATTCTGCACCAAGAGTTCCTATACTCATCTGATGTGGACGGGTATAGGAACTTGTGATGATGTCTAAGCTGTGTTAATGTTTTTGTATTTTTATTTATTTAATTCAAACTTATTTAAACAAATAATATTTTTAAATATTTTTATTTTTTTAGAATAATATTTATTACTTTGCATTTACTTCTTTTTAAATAAACAAAAATATTTTTATTATTTATTTAAACGTTTGAGTGAAATAAAAATAATGCTGATATGTATATACTAAATACTTTTAAATATAAAATACATGTTATTTGTTTACAAATTATTTTAGTTCAAAAAGACTTCAGTGATAATCTTTCATTGAAGATGCAATTAAACTATTTATTTTTAAAAATGGTTCAGTAGCTGCAACGCGAATTTATCAAATAATTTTTGCACGAATTGACCTTAAAAATGCACTGATTAAAAATAAAAAAAAAGTTATTTGTTCTATAAATAATAACAAATTCTGATTGAAAATTTATATAGAACGCTACGCAAAGGAATTTATTTAAAATGATCAATTTTCATTCACAAATCATCAAATATTTTTCAGAGATAGCCCCCAGCAACTATTAACTGTAGCCGCCTTTGCAAACCTCAAAAGGATGTACTGGAATAGATATTTGTTTTAAACGAAGAAGTGATGCTCAAAACAATAGCTTATTTCTAAGGTTTCAAAACAACTTTTTTTTAATAAGTTAAAAAAATGTGGAAAAGATATTACAAATATTGTAAAGAGTTCTTATGACAAGGAATTTATCGACAAATCATGAAATAATGCTAAAGATAATGTATTTATATATGTCAGATAGAAAACTTTTAAGTTTTATTTTTTTTTAATTCCTGCTTTGTTACTTATGATATATTATTATTATATTTTACTAGAACTTATTTTTTACTATATACTTTATTTAAAAGAAGAGTTCATTATAGTTTTAATAGGGTTATTACATAGTAGTACTGACACAAGTAGTACTTGTGATAAATGAGGACAAAACGAAGTACTTTCTGTCAACAAATAAATCTCCTAAGCATCTTGAAAGTCACGTCACTGTTGACAATTATAAGTTCGAAGTTGTGAAAGAAACTAGCGTAATAACGGAAATGACGTCAATAAAGAATCACTCTTGCCAACAGCTGTTATTTCGGGCTAAGTAAGCAATTGAGAAATATAGCTCTCTCTCTCTCTCTCTACAAACAAAAATCACGTTTTACAAGTCTCTTAACATGCCTGTTCAATTGTACTATATGGGTAGAATCATTTAAGAGAAAAATTCTTCGGTTAGATCTATGGTGCCTTAAGCGTTGGCAACAACTATCGAATAAGATAGAACGATTAGATATATGAGCTATCCCGCGACATTCACATGGTTAAGTGCATTAGAATTCGCTGGGTTGTTCATATCATGCGAATGGTAGAAAGTGTTCCAACTAAAAAAGTGTTTGATTCGGTATCCGAAGTTGGAAAACGCGGTAGAGGACGTCCGCAACTTCAGTGCAAGGATCAGGTGACCAACGATTTTTGGGCGCTCAATACTACCAATTAACGACAGGAAGCAACTAATCGAACTGGGTAGCGAAAGCTACTCGACGCAGCCAGAGACGACTCACGTCTATGATGGCGAACATTCTTCAGAGATATGAACTTCGCTGGCTTGTTCATATCATACGAATGGTAGAAAGTGTTCCAGCTAAAAAGGTGTTTGATTCGGTATCCGCAGTTGGAAAACGCGGTAGAGGACGTCCGCAACTTCAGTGCAAGGATCAGGTGACCAACGATTTTGGGGCGCTCAATTCTACCAATTAGCAACAAGAAGCAACTAATCGAACTGGCTGGCGAAAGCTACTCGACGCAGCCAGAGACGACTCACGTCGATAATGGCGAACATTCTTCAGAGATATGAACTAGCGACTCAAAATTATGTAGCGGTAAGAATTTTTGCTTTGTTTGAGAAAATGATCGCCAAAGCAGTAGCTTATTGCCAGGGTAAACAAATTAAAGAAAAAAGTTATAAAGAATGTGGAGAGTTGTTGTGCTAAAAAGTATATCAATTATTTTTTATATGTTCATTATATTCATTATTATTATGGATAGGATATACATGCAGTGGCCTCTTTTAAACAATTAAAGAATTTCTTTCAATGTATGTATTGTGTAATGTTAAAATTAATCAATATATCGATAAATCTCGTAACGAGAGTTATAAGGCAAATAAATTATATATGTCAGTCAATTTGTAGAGCAACAAGTGTTCACTAGTTTGACATTAAAAGTTATAATTTAATTATCGTAATTTCAGCCCCCACGATAGCAATAATAAACACGCAAGAAAAAAATTAAAAAAAAAAATATATGTGTGCTAAACATAAATAATTTAATGGAAAGTATGTGGTTCATAGTTCAGTCACTCACCTTGTATCGTTCGAAACCCTTCAAATGGGCCTCATCTAAATATTTAATTCCCAACATTTTTAAATGTGATCAGCTGACGCGGTATTGACGGTATTGTATAAGGCAGCCAAGTGCAGCGAGGGTGGTAGCAGCAATTGTTTGTTTATTCACTGCTGCAGGTGAATGCATAAAAACTGGACTAAAATGTCTAATTAACAATTTTTTATTTAAATTTATTCAAGGCACTTCAGAGTTGTGACGTCACCGGAATTGTAATAACTACACCACGGAATTCACGTGAGACTGTTAACAACTGACGAAGCGGTATTCACGTAGTTGCACTAATTGGCTTAACGAAATATTAAACATAAATTTCAACTCAAAAAAATTTTGTTTCATTATATACACCCGCGATTACACTAACAATTTGAAACTTAAATATCAAATTTTTTTTTTTATGAAATAAAAAATATTACAATTTTTAAAATAAATTGTAAGAAATTTTAAATATTTTAAATACAGTTTTAACACTCAATATATATTCTTAAACGAAAAATCATTTATACATATATATATATTCAATATTATTTTATATTTATTTATTTTATATAAGTTCATTTATATATACATATGAATTTGTATATAGTATATAAGTATAGAGTTTGTTTTAAATATATTATAAGACTCCAAACTACTGTATAAGAAAGTGAATATGTCAAATAAATTTCTATCAGATATATAATTTTATGACATAAATTACGAAGCATGATATGAATCAATAAGCTACAAAGAAAAATCTTAGAAAGTTAATTCTAGACCTAGTTAAAGCCTAGTGTGGGGTAGAGATAAGCCCCCCAGCCATTATAGAGTAAAAGTGCGAAATAGCATTAACTCAAGAAGAAGAAGAATCAAGAATCTAGACCTCAAATTTTTAGAGATCAAACTCTTTTGAACATATAAGACTGTATCTAACACATTTAATGTATGTTGTTCTTGTTGTTGTTGTTGGCCATCGGATTCAAGAAAGTAAGTATATAAAAGAACGACAAGACGTATGCAAAAGGGAAAGGAATGGCAGTGTTTATGCGATTTAGGTAGAATAAAGAAGATTCGGATTCAAGCAAGCAAGTACATAAAAGATGACAAGACGTATGCTAAAGGAAAAGGGATGGTAGTGTTTCTGCGATTTAGGTAAAATAAAGAATTGAGAGCGAAAGAAGAGTGGGTGTTAAAAATTGAATCTAACCAAGGTGGAGAAACTTTACCACCTCAATAGTGTACAAGAGATATTAAATATACCGGAACCAATCGTCTGCTCCAACGAGCAATTTCTGCCCGCACCCTCCAGCGGAAATAGAAACACTATGTTTAATTCCAATTATTGTCGACTTCTTTGCATAGACAAATAACTTCAAAATAAAAAAAGCATAAAGGTATGATTAATCATAGAACAATTGCTTTAATAACTTGTTAATCTCTGAATATATAATTTGTGTAGCATAGCCTGATTGTCTGATTAAAAAGAACGGTGTTTGCGCACTATCTAAAATTTCCGCCAACAAAGTTTTTCAAATCTGGCGTATATATAATGTGGTATCATAATCATAATTTGTGCTTAAATGACCTCAGTCTGCTAAAATCCGTTCAAAATATATTCAGCCAGAAATGGAAAAATCAGATGTTGTGCATAGCTCTTTTTCGGGGACAACTATTACTAATATTCTGTTTTTCTTCCTTGTTAATTGGACTTAGAAAAAAATGGAGGTGTTATAATTGAACGTTCAATCTAGCTTATAAATAGCCCAGGTAGCTGATGGTTTCAAATTGGGTTTATAAACAAAGTTACTGAGAAGTAATTAGACTTACAATGTCATTGCGTTTTGTGCACATTTAATACTAAAAATTTATTATTAATTATTATTATATATTATTAATTTATTTTCATTAGTGCTTAAACAATTAAGGCGCGCTACTCGGACATAAGGCATAAGTGTCTGATTAATGATTTGGTAAACATCATTTCATAAAAATATTAATTATCAAATGTTTGAGTATTATTATGTAGAAAAAAAATATCTAATATATGAAGAAACTTTTCAATAAAAAAAGAGTAGTTTTTAACGGAAGACAAAAGTTAATTAAGCAGAAATGGGCACGGTATTATTTGGAATAATAAAATTGTTAAAAATTTAATTATAAAGTCCAGTAAAACATATGGCATTTTCCAAGTCAAAAAACCAGGGTATACAATGTTTATGAACCTACAAAACCCTTCTTCTACGAAGATTACACAGATACACATTTTTTATTAAAAATATAATATACGTATATACCAAACATTTATACATAAATATATATTCTCGGATAAAATAGTTTGAAAACGCAGAGCTTTAAGGAAACTATTTTGATTTTCTGGTAAAGCTCATTTGAGAACAGACGTTTAGTTATTTTTTCCACTACACTATTTTAAGCAATTAACACGTCTTAGAGTTAGAAATATTTAGATGAAACCAACAAAAAAAAAAAAGGATATGAACCATCTGACGAATCTACCACTGATGATTTGGTCAGCCAAATTTCAATAAATTAAATAAATGTTTGTCCTTGTCTTTTTTTGCTATTTGAATCCGTTTAACTTTTTTTGGCAAGAAAAGATTAACATAAAGAATCTACTTATTATTATTTGTTGTTTGCTTAATCAATGTTAAATTCGAACAAACTAGTTATCACTAGTTGATATGTGTAGTTTTTGTTAATTTAATCAAAGCGAAAAATTTAAAACTTTAAACCTTGATATCTGAAGACGTAAACTTTATCAGCATATAGCGTGATAGAAAAAGTTGTTTAAGACAGAAGTCGCCAGACTCAGACTTCGGTATTTATACATTGCCTTCAAAGTACATAATCGCGTTTTTAACTACTAATCGTCTGCGGAACTAAAGTGGGTATATCACAATAATCCCCAAAGGATGCAGTAACGTGGTGACAAGTTCCCAACCCGTTTTTTTTAAATCTAAAATAGTTAACGCTACTGAAATGCATTGCCTAACCGGCGTTACAGGGAAATCGAAATCGAATGCCGCTTTGAGACGTAACTGTTAATGATTTATCTCAAAACACTGTTCTCTAAGTGATCTTCTTAGTTATAACAGAATCAGATATTTTTATAAAACACTTTGAAACAAAACTATTAGTGATTTATCTCAAAATACTGCTCTCTAAATGCTTTTTTTTAATTATAACAAAACCAGATATTTGCGTTAAACACGGAAATTGATTAACGTCACAAGAGTCTTTCTTACATTAATTAGATTAATTACATTAATTTTATATTTACGTTGTTCGTTATCGCAGTTATTGATTCATTATTGATGTTAGTCATTAGAGTTCACAAATTTGATTTATTATTATTCTAATTTTTTTAAATTATTTTTCACTTATATACAGTTTAGCTCAGATCGGTTTTATATCTTTTAAATTGCAATTGTAAAATTAAGGAACTTTTTACATTTATTTAGAAAAAAAACTATTTATGAAATTTTATATATTTTCAGTAATTATTAATTTCATTGCTAATATTAAGAAGAACGGACTGAAATGTGGCTGCTGAAAATAGTTTAAATCTAATCTATGCAATTTCATAATAATTTTTATATTTTTATTACAATTTAGCAACTAAGAACCAATCTGAATTTATTAAACAATTTTTCAAAAAAACTTTTTTTATTTTTTAATTTTTTTATTTGAAAATTAAGAATAAATTAAGTTTCCGCGCACTCAACACTAATTAAAATTGAACTTAAAACCACGACTGAAATTCACTTGCACGTCAGATTGAGAGTCTGAAATTATTTTTTATTTTATCAATTTTATCAATGAATCGATTTTGAAAGCCACGTGTATTTTTGCAAGTTTTCTCTCAGTTTGTAAAAAATTTGCAATTAACTGATTATTTAATAATACTATTTTGTTTTTGTGGTATATTAAAACCTTTTACTTGAAGGGGCTGTCTTATGTACTGGTGAGTTGATGAAAACAGTGGCGGTATCAAATTATTTAAAGTTTTAATAAAATCATTTTTACTAAACGATAATAAACAATTTATAGGACGTGTGCGAGTTCGAGTAAATTGTGGTAAAGTAAATTGTAATTTCCTAGAGATTTTTTGCACTGCACTTATGTAAATATTTATTTATTTATTTATTGCACTTTAATAAATAAGTTAAAAGTTTTCAAATTTATTAATTTATTTATTTACTAAACATTTTATGTATCTTTTTCTGATTCTGAGCTTCACATTTGGCAGGACCCGAGTTCGAATCCTGGTACTTGCAATCTAAAAAAAAAATAATTATTTACGAAAAATTAAATACAAGAATTATTTCCAAGACCACTGATGATGGGTATTTGGCAATACTCGAAACAGCTGTATGGTCAGCCAAAAATTCAATTAATTAAAATAATATGAAAACTAAAATTTTTGTTGTTGTAGCTCACTACTATTCGAAGAAACCTCTTTAAACACCTTATAAAATTTTCACAATAGTAACACATAATTTACATAATTTTCATCTAATTTACTCTACTTGAAATTCTGGTAAATACCAACATTCCCTGCCATACCGACATAATTCACTATTTTCATCAATTTACCATCAATTTACTTGAACTCGTACACGGCCATAATACGACCAAATCAACTGTGATTTGAAATAAAATCAATTAATTTTATGATAGATGAATTTTGAAAAATTACTTTAAGTCTAAGATAACCAAAAAACAATAGTAATTCTTCTCTTGTTACTATAGTTTTGTAGATAGTTGGGTTAAAAATGTTTCTGGTTAGTAAATTAGTTCAAGAAAATATTTACAGTCAAAAATTCTTAAGATTTACATATACTTAACAACGATGGCTGAAGACGACTATCGAACATAGTCGAAATATTGGAAAAGTATATTAATAGAATATAAATTGTTTTTAAATATAAATAATAAATTAAAGTTTTTTTATTTTTATTTAAACGACCAATTAGCCCGCTAATAAATTATTAAATAACAACGATGGATATACGAGTATAATATATACAAAGATTATAGTTTCACATAATAGG